GAGTATCAAGCTATTGTGAGGATGCCCTCTTCAGAACTTGCAAGAATATGCAAAGATCTCAGCAACAATGGAGACACTGGTAAATTTTTGTGCTGAATTAATCTAGGTTTCAAAAGAAAAAAAAATCAAATTGCATTTTGTTTGAACACCTTTAATCTGGGATGCAGTTGTTATTTCGGTGACTAAATAAGGTGTTAAGTTTTCGACAAGAGGAGATATTAGGAGTGCTAATATTGTTTGCAGGCAGAACACAAGTGTTGAGAAGAAGGTGATTTGTGCGCTTATTATGATTCAGAGGACAAGAGGGTGTATAGTTTTAACTAAAATGTTTAGTAGGTAATTAATTTTGCCTTTGTTTGATTACAAATCTAAATATAATAATAACATGTAGGAGGAGGCAAGACGTAATGCATAGAATTAGGCGTCATATTTACATGGTCGAGCAACCTATACAGGTGATAACTACCCTTCATATTATTGACTTTCATAACACAACAGAGATGGAGACATCATATTTTTGAGGTCAGGTGATTGCAGTACCCATTTATTTGTCTTGCATCAGAAATTTACAGAATTATGGATGAGTTTATAAGGTGGGTCATGGAAGTCAAATGTAATGATGGGTAGTTATTTAGCAGTGGTTATCGCGCCAAGGCGCGCATGGGTCAGAGGCTTGACATTGTCAGTATGTGTGGTGTTTTCTGTCTTTCTTGCTTTTCATTCTTTTTATGCTATTTGACTGTTGGTTGATCCCCTTCTAGATGATATCAATTGTTCATTATTCTTTCAAAAACTTTCATGTGCTTTTATAAAAAAAAAAGAATGGGTAAGTCAATAAAGATTAAATACTTGCAGTTATGCATTTCAGTAACTTTCTAAATGAAATGTTTTGTTAGTTTCAAATTAAAGTTAGTTGTGTTATGAATTGCGGCAACTACTTGTAGCAATTTGGCTTCTTTCCAAGTATTTCAACATTTTTCTTGAACTGTTTCTTTAATAGGCAACTACTTGTAGCAATTTGGCTTCTTTCCAAGTATTTCAACATTTTTCTTGAACTGTTTCTTTAATATATTTTGCTAGGATGGTGAGGAAGCCGACAAGAAGAATATTCACTAAGGTTCATATTGTGTTGCAACTCAGAAATCCTGTCAGCTACAATTTGGGAGCTACTACCTTTGGTCCCAAGAACATAAAGAAGTTATGAAATATTCACTAGTGAAGAGAATGAAAGATCAGGTTTTTGTTGCTAGGGCTTACCATCCAATCTTTGTGAAGCTTAAGGGTAGGAGAAGTTATCACGAGAAATGAAACAAAATATTTAGGACCATAAGTGCATGCTTACTGAAGCCATTTCAGACCTTGATCTTCCATCATCGTAAGTGATGATTTTAACCTGTTGGCAACCTTTTCACATCGTAATGTTTACTATAAATAATGGGAACAAACTCTGTTATGTGTACTTCTGCGCAGATTAACAAGCACATTAGTATGAGTCTATGGAAACATTTATCATGATCATGTTTGGAGGCTTTTGCTCCCAACATCATGGTAATTTGATTTTCTTCAAACACAACTATTGGAATTGTAGACCCGAGCTACCATGAGTGCCAGATATTTTACCATTCACAGTAGATGCAGTTGTCTTATTTCATTTTCTATCTGAATAATCTGAATAAATATAGAACAGAGTTCACAAACATATTTGGTCATCATGTATGCATAAATATGTCATCAAAGTGCTCTTGCTTTGGCTATAATTAAATTAATTGGTGTACACAATTGGTCATCATGTATGCTCTTATGATCCAGTAAGTACATACTCTCCACAAATGTCCTTTAGCCTGTGTGACTTTTCACGAAAGAGATTGCTTACCTGCTGCTTTGTGTTGTAGGTGTATGATGCAAGGCCAATTAGGAGGTGACTAGAGAAGACGGTGGTGACCCAGCTCTCCAAGATGCTGATAAGGAAATAGATAGATGAGAATTCCACTGTTTATATCGATACAATTGTTGGAAAGAAAGAGTTGTCGTATAGAGTGGAGAAGAATGGAGGTCTGGTGAATGCTTCTACTGGCCAGAAATCAGATATTTTGATTGAGATCCCTGCTAAAGTGAGGAGCGATGCTGCTCAATCTGTGAAGAAGATGAAGATTGCCGCTGGTGAGGATGAAGACGAGGTGGTGGATGAAGAGAACATGAGTCTCCTATTGGTTGGTTTCTACTTTGGTTGTACACTTGTTACCGAGAATGAATGTTCAGATAGTGGAATTGAATGGGATTATATGATACCTCTCTTTTGAAATTACTCAACATATATATTGAGTAATCATTGCATGTGTATGTTTTGTCTCTAATATTATATATTGAGTAATCATTGTGTATGTATATATAATATTGGATATTTAGTATTGTTTGAGACATTTTTGTGTATGAATATATTTTTAATTTCATTGTGAGATATTGAGAAATTATTGTGTGAGATGTGTATATTAAATATAAACATATAGATTAATAAAACAACCAAAATTAAAAAAATATTAAAAATCAACATGCCAAACGGTTTAAACCGTTTGGACAGAGTTTTGTCCAAACGGTTGCAACTGTTTGGACAGATTTTGTCCAAACGGGTGAAACCGTTTGGACAAAAAACTGTCCAAACGGTTCCAACCGTTTGGATAGTTTTTACATCCCAAACGGTTACAACCGTTTGGAAAAAATCCCAAACGGTTGTAACCGTTTGGTACTCTGTCTAAACGGTTACAACCGTTTGGGCGACCGTTGGGGAAAACTCATCCCCAACGGCTTTAGCCCAAACGGGTTTTTTTTCCGCCCAAACGGTTGTAACCGTTTGGGACTGCATTTGCCCAAACGGTTCCAACCGTTTGGACAGACATGTTTTGTACTAGTGTCCTCCTCCATCACCACCACCACCATGTCACTAATCACCAATGCCAACTCCACCTCCGTCATTTCTATGACTCCTAGTATTATTACCTCTACTGTTAGGGTACACACCAACAATAACGCCTCGAACGGAGACGTAATACACAGAATAAAGGCACAAAAAATCAATCACAGTACTCACAGATATACGTGGTTCACTTCTTCAGAGCTACTCCACGGTGCAACGACGACGCTAAATTCTTTTATATCCCAAAAGAATAGATCAAAGAGAACACCCTCTCTTCACCAGATACACTCCAAGAA